ATTTAAATACTACTGAGAACCTGTTGAAATGTACATTTCTACCTGTAAAAACCACTGTTATGAGTTGCTGCCACCTAGTGACAGCAACTGGAGGCTTGATAGCATAACAGCAGTGGTCGACTTATATCCAGCTTGCTATATTCCATTGGAAACCCCTCACCATGCCCCCTCAGGGGGGTCCGCCCCACTGTTTGAGAAGTACTGAGTTAATTAAAACGAGCTCAAAAAGATACGATGTATCTGTGAAGAGACGGTAAATAAATTAGACGGAAGAAAGAGGATGTTGACGGAGAAGCTAACTGTCATTACATCTGCTAAATTGGGATTGGAACTCATGTCCTTCTACATCTGTCTCGTCAAACATTAAGACAAGATTTACCAACCATTTGCCTCCGTAGTTTTCGGTCAGAATTGCAATCATCCGTTCGACCGATCCCAGGATGGCTCTGTGGATGATCACAGGTCTCTTCTTGTCATCGCCGTCATGACTGCAAAACAGTTATAGAGAGATTAGAGCGAATAAGAGTCGGGGGTGAAAGGGTTAATTACTAGAAAAATATGAAGAGGTAGAATTTATAGCTAAGAAAGTAAAAGTAAAAAAAAAAAAAAAATCTCCAACTTCAAAAAAGGAGGTTTGGTTCTTGTGAAACTCTGACCCCACGAAGTCCTTTAACCACAAAGACTGGGGTCTTGGTTCAAGTACTTGTACAAAAAGTACCAGGTACCTGACAAAGGTAAGGTCGAAGCGAATAGGAAGCTGGAAATCAAGCTGAATGGTTGCGCACTGGTGGTATCGACCAATGGCGTCCTTGATCTGAATGTCAATCTGAAAACAGAGAGGACACGGTCAGCGTCTCCTTCTGCCACCTGCAGGTAACGGCGGTATCACCGGCAGGGCGCGCAGGACTCACCTTTGGTCCGTAGAAGGCGCCGTCGCCTGGGTTCAGAACCCATTTCTCCCCAAAGTCGTTCAGGCTGTTCTCCAGTTGCTGTGAAAACAAACAGTTACTGCAGTTGCTGGAATATCGGCGGCGACAAGTAAACAGAGGAGCGGAGCCGAGCGGCGTGTTTAGACCTGACATTTTCCTCATCTGGAACTAATCAGTGAGCAGAGAAAATGTTAACGTCTGAATATTTTATAAGTGTTTGTGGAAGTTAATGAGGTGAGGGAGAGAAAAAAAAAAACACCAGTGGAGTGGCCAAAGTTGGGAGTTTTATCCTCCGTGTTTATCAGTTTCTACTTTTCAATGGAGAACCGTTAACATTAATCATAAGTACGTTCAGAGAAAGTTTTCCTCAGAGGGTTGAGTCTGAGCAGGTCGAGGTGCAACATCTCAAAGAGCTGCGAGCTATTAGAAAGAGAAGTTAATTATAGAAATACAGACCGTAATTAACGTGTGCATCAAGGGAGAATAAGTTTCTACATCAGCAGTTTTAACTTCCTCTGCTCTTCACTGGGGCTCAGCAACAAACATCTGATATTCAAACAGTTCATCTCCTTTGTATATGTATGTATATATGTGTATATATATATATATACACACATATATACATACATATATACACACATATATACATACATATATATACATATATATACATACATATATACACACATATATATCATATATATATATATAACATATGTATATGTGTATATATATATACACACATATACAAAGGAGCTGAACAGTTATTAGATATATTATTATTATATTATAACATGTATATTATATTTTACATATACATATATACACATATATACATACATATACACATACATACATAAATATACACATACTGTATATACATTTATAAAAAGGAATGTATGGAAAAACTTTATGTTCAATTTCCTGAAATTTCAATGTATTTCTCGTAAGTAACTGCTAACATAAAGCGTTGTAGCAATTAATCATGATTAGTTGTGATCTGAATAATTAGAATTAATTGTGACTATAATTAATCAATGTACATTCTGTTAACAATTAATCGACTTTCTTTAATATAACAAATACAATTGTTTTTTCCGTATATTACCAAAACCGAAGTCATACAAATTTGATAGCCATCTATTTGGCTAAATGGTTACATAGCCGTTCTCGTCTACCTAAATGGCTCTCTTGCCATCTGGCTATCTATCTACCTAGCTAAGTGCTATCTAGCTAGCAAGCAGACTGAAGAAGAAGGGTTCAACTCCTGGTTTTTGATGTGTCCAGTTTACCTTCTCAGCCTGGTCCCAAAAGTCAGGGTCTCCCAGGAATTTCTCCGGCCTGGTGGAGAGGTTGAGCTTGAACGTGAAGCCGAAGACGTCGTACACGGTTCGCAGGAAGTCCAGGCAGCCCTTGATCTCTTCTTCAATCTATTGGTGAAACAAGTTCAAAGAACATCAGTGAAGTTTCTGAGCAATTCTGAGATATGTGTCTTATTGCTGGTTATGCTGCATGTCAGCAATTGCAATAGAAAAGAGCTGTAGTTGCTAATAAATATTTAATAGTTCTTACAGGTGGGGCCACCATCTGGTTTGGTGGAGTATAAACCAAAAGAGAGGTTGAAATTATCAGTGAAGTGCTGCTGCTCTCACATTTAAATAAACTCATTAAAGAAAACAAAATCCTGATTGTGTCGACGACATCGTCGGAGCTTCTCTTTGGTAAAAGTTTGATTTTCTGGTTGTGATGAAACATTCAGTAAAAAGATGAGAAAAATATATTCAATCAGATAATTTTTCTCAGAATCAACTGCACAGGTGTTCAGCTGTTGTGACTTTTTATCGAAACAGTCAATCTGTGTTTTTTTCTAGTTTTTATCTAACTTCTAAACACCATTGGTTTACAAAGTGCATGGCAACAAGATGCCATGAACCATTGTGTCCCCAGGCTTCACCAATACCATGTGACTGATGTCAGGACTCACCTGGTCCATGGAGCAGAATATGTGAGCGTCATCCTGCTGGAAGCGCCGCACACGCGTGAGACCGGTCAGGGCTCCTGACAGCTCGTTCCTGTGAAGAACTCCAAAGTCGGCCATGCGGAGCGGCAACTCTCTCCAGGAGCGCGGCCGGTGATCAAACATCAAACTGGTGGACAAAAAAAAAAAAGAGAGAAATCTTTCTTAAAAATAATTATTATTTAGGTATTATGGTATTAATTTGATCATAATAATTAATCTTATTTTTTATATTTATATGTTTATATATTTTCTATAATTTTTTTTTACTGAATACATTTTAATTTATGTCAATAGCGCTAACTGTCGTTATTAGGAGGAACAGCTACGTTCACACCGCAGGCAAAAGTAGCCAAAATGTAATTTTTATATGCAACCGTGTAAACAGTAAAAATGTCAATTTAAAATCAACTCCTAATGTTTATTCAAAGTCACCACAGTCAACATTTAATTGGACTACAGTACTTCACTGAAGAGCGTACAAACTGACATAGGCCCCCCGAAAATTAAATCAGAACTCCCTACTGCCCCCTAGTGGGTAAATTGCTTTACAATCAAGCACAAACAAAAGTGTGTGGTCTGTGACGTCAGAAACAGATCGTGCCCCGTCACATACGTACCAGGATCAAAAGGAGGCTCGTGTGCTCACACATGACACGTTCACGCTACGTGAAGTTCTGCACAGTCCATTAATAAACGTGTCAGAACAGTATTTAATAACAGGTCGATAAAGCCCAAAAAACAAAATCGCAGTGTGAAAACCCAGAGCAATAACAATCAGTCAGAAATCCATCTTCCAACTCCAGCACCACTGTGGACGACTGAACACGGCGTTAGATTAAAGTGACATTCACTTGGATGTAATGTGTTGGCAAGCTCATTTTCCACTTTCATTGTGATGACCAGAGGGGCTGTCCGTGTGACGAGCACAGAGATTGGAGGAGCAACAAAAGAGGAAAAGAATGGATTTGAATACAAAGAGCTGCAGCTCCAACTCTTTTAGACTGCAATGCAGCAGTGGGCAGGAAATTGAAGTAGGTCACTCAACGGCTGAAAACACCGTCACAGCACCGGTACGTTTCTAGCCCGGCCGGAGGTGACGGCAGCCCACTGTTGCTGGGAAAGATTTAAAGATCTCTAACAAAAGAGTTCTCTACTGCCAATAAGAACAACATATAAAAGCTGAGACAACACCGGAGCTCATGTCACAGATCTTAGGGTTTTTGGGGTTTTTTTTCCATAAATTTTAGCTCTGTATTCTGAAGAAAAATGTTCAGCGTGTTGACAAAGTCTGAAACTGTTGAACTTTACAGTGAATACTGACATTATCAGCATGAAACATGAATAAATTCTATATACAGAACCAGACTAAGATCTAGGAACAGTCCTTCAGATGTGGAATATAAGGTAAAGTTAAATATCTGCCTTCATCAGGCTCACTGAGCATGTGTAAGTGATGAGACAGTTTGAAGTACAGAAACGAGTATATGTGTATATATATATATATATATACCCATATATACAGTATATTCAATGACCATCAAGATAATTTCAACGATGCAAAACTGAGAATTCTGATTCCTATGACTGTCTTTTTTTGTCTTATTTTGTTTTTGTTTTGTTTTAAACGTGTGAATCCATTTACTCAGCCTTTCCCGGCTGTGACCTTTGTACGACCTCAATCTCCCTTCATCAGTTAGCAGGCAGGGAAAATGCTGAGCGCTGAAGAAAAAGGAGAAGAGATTTGCTCCCCTCTCAGCAGAGATAAAGCTGCAGTCAAGGAATCTTTTTGCAATTTTTGGAAAGAAAAGAAAAAAGTTTCTCTACAGCTATGAAAGGAAGCTTCCTCACAAATCATGTGGGAATCTAACCGTCCATTACTTTTATTTTTAACATTTAAAAATATATATATATTCAGATTAGGATTTACATCAGTGTGGGATGTAAATCGTAAAAAGTAGAATTTTGATTTAAATCAACATCAATATAGAGAAATACCCATGATGCACTGATTCAACATTGACGTATGTGTTCGTGTATTGACCAATTATCAAAGTCAGGCATCAGATAATGAGCCTCATCCTGGATAATGATCCATTAAAAGGAAAAAAAAAAGAAAAAATATCAAATCAAGGCAGCAACACAAAGATGAGAACATTTTCAACCAACTGTGTGAAAAGGTGACAAAATAACACAGAAGGTTCTAGAACTCAGTCATTTTGTTCGTGTAATTTAGTGAGTTAGTGTTAAGGTGTTAAGTGTGTTAAGGGTTAGTTAGGTTAGTTTTTCAGTTTCCAGTTTGCTATGTTTTACTTTCTATGAATTCGTGTCTATTTTGAATGCCATTAAAGTTATATTAAAGCTCCTTGTTTATTTTCTGTTTTAGTCGCGATAATTTCACACTGGATTTTATTCTGTGTATAAAAATAAATGTTTACAACAGAGTTCTATTCCTGTTGATGTTCAATATTGGTTTTTCAAGTGGCTACTGGTGCACATTTATTTTATATATTTATTTGAATAATTTGCCATTTATTTCCACAAAAAAATTGCTTTAAATAACAGATCTGACTCCCTGAGTCTTTGCCAGACGTAAAGAGGTCATCAATTAAACAATAGTATTGGATCAGTACCAAAATGGAAAGTCCAACCATCAGGATCAGGATCAGAAAAAGTTGGATCAGTGCTTCACTAATAATAAATAATAAATACAACATCACCGCGTTCATTTCCTTCGCCACTGTTGATGTTGTAAACTGAAACTTTCCGTGTTACATCTGGACTCACCAGTGACCGGGGCAGTTCATGGGTTTGAGGGCAAATGTCTCTTTCTCCACTTCGAAGGAGAACATGTTCTCGCTGTAGTGCTGCCAGTGGCCGGAGGTCTGCCACAGTTTGCTGTTGTAGATGTTTGGCGTCACCACCTCCTGGAAACCACGTTTCCTGTATTCACTCTGGCGAAAAAAAAAAAAAATATATATTTTTTTATTATAAATCATGTAGAAAACCTGAGGTCTGTTGTCTGTTGTTTACGGCTGGTTCTCACTCTGATGAACTGGATCAGTGTGTTGTAGATATAGGCTCCTTTAGGCAAAAAGAAGCAGCTTCCTGGACTCAGGTCATGGAAGAAAAACAGATCCTGCTCCTGGAGAAGTAAAAAAAAAAATGTAATTGTCCGATTTTTTTTTTTTTTAAAACAACATAAAAAAAAAAAAACACTGAAATATGACCAATAATAATGACCAAGTTCAATACAGGTGTTTTGTACTCAGACTAGCTCCCGTTAGCTAAACTCCAATCACCTGCCATTAGCTAACGGGAGCTAACAGGAACAGGAAGAGCTGTAACCAAATTTTTGATTACTTAACTGAGCAGGTGACACATCTCCAAATGTTTGTCTTTGACATTTCAAATGTTTTTCTTGTTACTGATTGACTGACGCCCCCTCCAGCAGTAGAGCTGCTAATGCACCGTGGCCATGACTCACACACTTTTCAACAGTGACTCAGATGAAGGCGTCACATCATCCACACAGTTTTACAGCAAACCATGATTTTTTTTTTTCAAAAGTTGATCATAAACAATCTTTTGTTTTTCTTGGTTTGCTTTTATTATTAGCACGTACCCGGCCTAGTTTACGGTGGTCCCTGTTTTTGGCTTCCTCCTGAAACTTCTCCCATTCTTTGAGCATTTTGGGGTCAGGGAAGGAGATTCCATAGATCCTCTGGAGGGTTTCCATGTCTGCTTTTCCTTCCCAGTACGTGGAGGAATTCTAGAACACCGCAAAGGGAGGATGTTACCTTTCATTATTCTTATGGGGGTGGGGGTGGGATCAAATCCCTTGAGTATGAAGCACAACAACAGCAGAGAATGGGGACAAATCCAAGGGACACTGAGGACAAATCAGACAAACTTCAACAACTTGTTTAAAAAAAAAAAAATAAAGTAAAGAATGAAAAGTAAACTCAGGGACCTTGGTGATCTTCATTGCCTTGATTTTCCCGGTGTGTCGAACATGAGGCCCGCGGCACAAGTCGATTAAGGGACCACACCTGCAACAGCGTGTTGAAGATTAGGACAGAAGTGAGATGTAAATACATTACCCTGAATTATAAAATCATATTATTTTATACTTCTTAACAAGTGTAAATCTGCAAAATAACATTTAATTTTATAATTTATATTAATTAAATTAAACCCCTCTCTTTAGAGAGAACACCAAAGCTCTACTTGTCAGAAGTTATGAAAATATTGTGTTCAGTAAATATTTTGACAGCCAGATATAAAAAATTAAAATAAATCCCTCTGGGTAGAAGTCACTAAAAACCCATTACAATATATTATATTTACATTTATCATTTGACCAAACTTTATTTCATCATAGAGTAGAGTTCTGGACGCACCTGTACACGGTGGTGGTCGGGGTCGTGACCTTCTCATTCAGGATGCGACACTTGAACTCGTTGTACTGTTAAAGGAAGAGATCAGTTTGCTTTTATTTTTATCTTTTTTAAAAATTCTCTATGCGATAGGACGCACGTTTAAGAAAAAAAAAAGGTTACCTTGAACATTTCCAACAGCGTCTCCTTCTTTATCTCCAGCCGTTCGAATGGCTGCTTCTCCTTGATAATCTTCTTGCACAGGTTTTCCAGACAGGGAAAGTCGTTGCTCGATACTCCCCTGTCCAAAACAGCAAGAGATAAACACCAACGGGAACAGCAACCTTCAACGGCAACTCCTTAAGTGGACGCCTTCATTACCATGCAAACCATATACAAATGCTGAATTTTATCAGCTCTCGCGGCAGCTGCGGGACGTGACTTTTTTTTCTGAAATCTGTGTCTTTTTTTTGACCTTCTGGGACTGAGGACATTTGCCCGGCGTGGACAAATACTTTTAAGTCCTGTGATGTAAAGGCTGCAGCCATGTCATAATATCCTTGTAGAAAACAGCCTGAGAATCCCATTAGCATAAAACGGCTTCATTAAAGAGGTTGTAGAATTAATTAGATTCCACCACTTGCGCTCGTCTGCTGCCTACAGCGGCAGGAAACGCTTAGGGGATTTTCAGGGAGCGGTCGTGTGAAAAAAGTGTGTTCACATTCCCCAGTCTTTGACTTTTAACGTCTGATATTATGGGCTGCAGGGCCGTCGTCTTTTTATGGAACAATATGACAAGTAGTAGTCGTGTCAATCATTTGAAAGAAAATCCAGCTCAGCAGCATTAACGTCGCTCTGTCTGGGGGATTTTTTTTTTTACCTGACACAGCAAAGTATTCTCAGAGCCAGAAAGACTTCAGGTGAACACCAAGTAAAACTCAATATTTATAGAGGGTTTTTTTTTAGTGAGTACTTGACCCAATGTGTGTACCTTGGTCATGAATATGGTTGGATGGATGGACAGACAAATATTTAATGAATTGCTATTGTTGCCAAAAAAAAAAAAATTTAAATATTAAGTATTTAGCCTTAACACTGACTGGTACGCGTCGTCTTACGACTGAACAAAGGTCAAAGCTAACCTACCCCACAGGGACTCTTATCCAAGGTGACGCTACAGACATCCATGACGTCAGTCGTCTCATTGTGGACACCGTTCTCCAGATAACTGAGACCAACCACAGACACGACGGTGAGGGTTAGTCAAGAACATCTGAAAAATAGGTTTTCTCTTCGTAGACTTTGCTCAGAGGCACAACAACCTAATACAGCCGAATACTTGTCAAATACAGTACAGTGATCCCTTGCTATAACGCGGTTTACTTTTCACGGTTTCGCTACTTCACGGATTTGCATCGTGCATTGTGTTCTGCATTCTGATTGGCTAAAAAGTCACTCCGCTTCTTCTCTACCTGTGCGCCAATAACGTTGCGGTTTAATATGTACATGTACGTAAAACAGCTTGCCAAATTGACATTACGTACGTGCAAATTCTCTTGCAATTTCGAGTTTATCAAACCCCATAATGTCGACAAAACGCTCTGGACCGGCAAAAGTACCTGCGGTAGGGACCAAAAGGCAGCGGAAGATGCTGTCTATCGGTGATAAAGTAAAACTATTGGACATGCTAAATGAAGGTAAAAGCTATGCGGCTGTAGGTCGGCATTATGGAATTAATGAATCTTCCGTTCGTTCCATAAAGAAGGAAGAAAAAAACATAAGGAAGACAGCAGCAATAAGTTTTAATAAGGATTCAAAAAGGGTTGCAACTGCCCGCAACAAGACCAGGTAATTTGTATTTTTTTCATAATCATTTTTAATTTTCTCCCGTTCACGGTGGGCGGTGCTAATCTCCGCAATTTGAAGCCTTCTGTTCACGTTGATGATTAAAATTATTATTTGACAGTACATTACAGAAGTTATTTGTTGAAACGTTTCTAAAGTACTTTTATTTTACTTTATTTGTGAAACAAATGGTTGAGACTGTAAAATGGTTTGTTCGTTCTTTCTCTTCTTTTTCTGAGTATTTAATTGTAAAAAAAATAAAGATTTCTACTTCACGGATTTTGCCTATCACGGGTTCTTTTTGGAACGTAACCCCCGCGAAAAACAAAGGTTTACTGTATATATATAAATATATACACATATAAATACATATATAAATATATACATATATAAATATATATATACAATATATATTTACAAATACAATATGTGTATGAATAAAATCTAAACAATATGAACCTAAAAACGTCTTGTGAAGAAGAAAATCCACTCTCATTACAACCAATTATAGAAATATTATGGCGTACACACACACACACACACACATATATACTGTATGAGGTCAATAATGATCGACTTTGGCCAAATCACAACAGTGCGGTTGGCAGGCAGCCTGTACTTTGTGTCCTTGTGGCTGTTACTGTGTGACAGCTTCACTCAGAGGAAGAACTCGTGTCTTTCGCAAGATTGCAGGAAACCAGAGTACGGACCGTCTTTGGATCCATGAAAAAGTACATTTATGTATTAATGTCCTGCCGGCACACGGATGAGCATAATGTCTACTGGTGATATTTGAAGGGACAGGGAAGGTGAGGCAGAAGAGGACGGGTCGGTGGACAGACCACAGCAGGCTAAGTGGGGGACAGTTGTGTTTTTTTGTGTTGGGAGATGTAAAAACTGACACTAACATATATACATATATACAGTATATACACATACATATACATATACATATATATATATATATATATGTATATATATATATATGTGTGTGTGTGTATATATAAATATATATACATATACACATATATATACATATATACAAATATATACACATACACATATACAGTATATACACATATATACATATATACACATATATAAATATATATATATATATACATACATATATACATATATACATACATATATACATATATACACATACACATATACATATATACACATATATACATATATATATATACCTATTTGTATATGTACGTATGTACCTATTTTATGAGATCATATATATACTGTTGCTAATATCTCACTGCTGAAAACATAAGCAAAGAGTATCCAATAATATCAGCTAAAATGTTAGCATTAAGCTGGTGACCAGGGCGAAACGATCTGCCTACATTACAAATTTTTAATATGTATTTACTCGTATAAACTCAATATACAGCACAAGTGTGATTTGATAACTTTATGGTTTATACCAGTTTAGTGATTAGCATCTAAAGATCGTGGTACATCAGCATTCTCCTTTTGCTTTTGCGATCTACCGCTAGACTGTGAGCTCCCTGTTGGGCACCCCGACCTGTAGGCTCTCTCACTCCTACATGATGCGAGATTTTTTTATTATATGACTCTAATAAAAACTGCGACACAGGGCTTAACCGTTACAGCAGATGAGTGTGAATTATATTCGACTCACTCATTGTCGTCCAGGAACATGTCGTAATAGAAGCCGTTCTCGATGGGGGGTCCGTAGCAGAGGCAGCCTCCGTACACCTTCTCCATGGCTTCACCCAGGATGTGAGCACTGGAGTGCCAGTAAACCTTAACAATGGAAAAACAAAACAAAAACATCTCTTATTTATTCCAGTTATCTTTTACGTTATTATTAAGCCACTGTTGTCTTTCTTTAATCTCAAACCGCTCTGTTTATTTATTTTTTTTGTTCATTTTCTCTGATATAAACCATTTTCACACAGATAACGTCAAATTTGTTAAAAAAAAAAAAAATTTAAAAATTATTATATCATCAATTTATCATTTTTATTCAAACTCCCAGTTTAAGACGAGTGACTTAAACTTAAGCTACTTTTTCCCCCCATCAACTACGAATCTGTAACTAAATATACTTCATCCAGATGACAAAATAAAATAAAAAAACATAAATTGAATAGTGGTGGTGGCTTAGTAGTTAAGGAAGCAGCGTTGGGTGCGGAAGGCTTCAGGTACGAGTCCAGATAGTACCTTGGCCGCTAGTTGGTGATGGGTTAAAAGCGGAGGTCACATTTGGTTGTGTGCTGTGTCACTTTCCTTAAATTTAATACCATACAACTACAGGGTCTGTCCTAATATTCCTCATTATTGCATCAGTCATGTTCATGAACCAACAGTAATCTGACTTTTTAATCACAATCAACATCTGTTTGGTTGTTGTAACGGCCTCTGCCGAAAGGAGACAACGGACGATTTAGCAGCTAAGAATAATGCAACCGTGTTGAGTTTTTAGAAGATACTGTAAATGAAGTGGGGTGAAAAGGCCAGTTACATCACGGAGGCTCAAGGCAGCTCACAAAACCTGCAGCAGCATAAAAAAAGTCAAGAAAAAGTCACAGGAATATTTGTCCCATCGGGAGAACATAAACGACAGCATCAGTGAAGTTTGAAACTTTTTTTTTTTTTCGTGAGAAGACTTTAAATATTCCGTCTTTGTGCTCAGACGCTGCGCTGTCCTGACAGTGCTTGTACATAGAGTTCCACCTTACACACTCAGAGGCAGAACACTGACAGGTCTTAATTTATGTCAGCAACAAATGTCAACTGTTTTGACTGTCTTCATATTCTGTATTATATTTCTGTAACAGACCAAACCAGAATCTATTCCAAAAGTCTGCAAAAACAACTGCAATAAAATTGGTCCTTGCGGGATATTGACTCTTGTTAATAATCACTGAAGTTGTGTGTGTGTTGGGAACGATCCCACAGAGCTTCTAAAAGACACACCCTCTCCGGTTTAGCACCAAAACACATGTTGTGTTTACTGCCGTTCTTATACAAGACGAGATTTTTTAAAAAATGCTTGATTGCACCGATCTTCTGTCCACGTGATTGGCTGATTATATCCACAAAAAGTGACGTTTAAAGCCTTTACAAACAGTATAAATGGAAAAAAAAAAGTGTCAAATAAAGGTTCTTTATTGCTAGAAAACCACAACAGAATTTCTTTACGTCTGGATGCTCAGTGAACAGACCTTCGAGGTTTATCATTGATTTTAAACCTTTCATTCATCACATTAATATTACAAGCTCAGGTGCCGTGCTACATCTGCTTTTTAAGACTTGTTGTGCATTATAATCGATCGCACTTTTAACAGACAAAGAAAAAAAAAGTTCCAGTATTGGAACTCCCCCCCCCCTCCATGATTTTTATTTTTTGTTTTTTTTGGGAAAAGTCAGGATGTTTACTCACAGCTTGGGCTTCCTCATCGTCGAACTTCAGCAGCTGAAGGCTGCAGTCTTCTTCCAGGGGTCTGTCAAGATCCCACACGGCATTGTTCACTTTGGCAATCACCGTGTTGTCAGCGAGGCCTTGACTGCAGAAAAAATAAATCACATTAAATGCGGTGATGACAAAGTACCCGTTTAATAGTGTTGGTGTTTCAAAGTAGAGCCGGTCCTGAGACGTTCTTCTGATTTATTTGGTTCTTCATGACAGGAATGTTGCTCATTGATTTAGAAAAGAAAAAACCCCATCAGACTCACCTGATTCCACAGGCCACCTGGTACGGTGTGGTTTTCCAAGACTCGGCCTCCACCACCTTCCCATCAGGCAAGGTCACCTTGATGGGTTGGCTGTCTTTTGTAGCCCTCTCTGCTAGAAGGGCGTCGTGCTCAGCTTTTAGCTTCTCATACAGAGTGAGGCGACCCTCGATGTACTGAGGTGGGGGGGACAGCTGGAGAAAAACAAAACAAAGTGGAAGTCAGAGTGAATCCCAATTCACCCATTTCCTACCAAGTCTCTTTTCATCACCTGTAATATTAATCGTCATCTAGGGAGATTTTTCAGGAAAATCTCTCTCTCTACATAAAAATGTAACTGAAAATGTGTGATAAACCAGAATTAAAGAGAAATTAATTCAACCGTCACAAAGCTAATTATATGTTGCTTGGACTGTCACAAGTCTGGTTGGGTTGGGCTTTGTAAACATAGCATTTCAAACATGAAAAGAATGCTTTTGACAAACTCTAACGCTTAAAAATGCTATAAATGCAGTGTCTGCACAGTAAGGTATGTAAACAAATACAGAAAAAAAAAATAATGCTGCAAAACAATAATGTGTAAAAATAGCACACACTGATGACACCTTATTTAGTGGCTTACCTCCCCTCTGCCTCCAGCGTCTCCTCCGGCGCCACCTTTGGCCTTCTTTTTTCCTCCTTCTTTGCCACATCCTCCCTTTAAAACAAGACACCGCTAAGTGTTGGGTGAAGACAAAAAAATCATGGAAACACACTAAAGAATTTTTAAAGCTAACACAGGCACAACTTCTTCTCATAATCATGCCAAACATGCTTGGTAATTTACAATATTCCTCAGTTTTGTTTAGCTGTAACTGTTGTACAGTTTATCTTCAAATGATCTTACAAACATGTCCCATTTCCTAAATTATGAAAATTCATATATTATCATTTAACACATTGTAAGCTTATGTGTTAAGCCAATGGGTGTGTGCCGGAAGTAAAATCGTTAAAGGATACTCTAATCGTCCTAAATACCGGTCATACAGGTGAAATGAAGACCACGGATATTCCTGTGACCCTTTTATTGTCACAAACGAAAGCGTTGTTGTCGACAGGTGCCCTAAAGTGAAGCTGTTCTGGACTAAATAAACCGAGACGACTTGCTCGACTGCAACGTGGCACACACGTCTACACATAGACTGAAAACACACGTTTCTACTTCTGCACACAATGAATTCTCTTCACCGACAACAAAACATTTTTAAAAAATGAGTTAAAAATCCAGCACCACATTGTACACAGGGTTTAGTGACATCACGAATCGGACCGGCGGCTAAGCTAGCTGCCAAGAAACAGTGCTAAAATGGAAATAAAGCGTCACCTTCTTCTTATCCTCCACCTGCAGTTCGCTCATTTTCTCCACGACCGTCTGTTCAGCCATTTAAAAATGAATTACACCAAACTTTATGAGGACAACGTTGTCTAGTTTTGGTGTAAAGTGTGTTCCGACTGCGGTAAATGTGCCGGGTGACAACTATGACGTATCCCGGATATTGCGAATCTGATGCAACATTTTACCATAGTAGGCGGGACTACGTCTGTACGTGAACGCTAATTGGTCAATAATGCCGGATGTGCTTTTTTTTAAACGCGGAAGTTTTTTTTCTGAAAATAAACATTTAAAGTGAATACATACATTTTGTTCTAAACAAGCTGGTGTTACTTTAATTAAAAGTAGGGTTAGAATAACGACACATTTAAAACAGATAACATGATTTAAAACTAAAAAGAACAATTATATATTCAGTCCCTATATATAAACCATAATACACAGCTGTTTATTTTATTTGTTTTTTTATAAATGTAACGTTTATTAATAAGGCTATTAGTATATCTATAAGAAATTGATGCAAGGCAGCTGTTAATATTTCAATTTCTTCATATGTTATTACTGTGATAATGTTTAGTGTATCTATTAGGAATATTATGTGGTCTACCTAGATTTTCCCCGTCCAACAGGTGCACATGAAATTTTAAAAATTGTGAATTTTAATGTTGAAGTTCTTTCAGACTTTACTGACCAAATGTTTACTGACTAAAATGATAAAACAGGTCAATACACTACTAGTCCAGATCCAAGCCCCGGAATTTATCTGATTACATGGCTGTTTTGTTTTTTTGTTTTTGTTTTTGTTTTGTTTTGTGTTTTTTTGTTTGTTTGTTTTATGTTTAAAAACCCAAACAACTAAAGAGGATTATTGATTAACACATCTAAAACATAACAGCCAGATGATGGCCAGATTTATTATTTTTATTATGTGCTTGTAATATTGTTTTTAATTAACTGTCTGATTAATTAACAGTCAACAAAGCCAACTGGTACTCACTTACATCATAATTACAAGGAACTGGAAGAAAAACCATCCTCAGATGTCGTTCTAACTGTATGTAGGATTTTTAATTTCCTTCTTTTGGCTACACATGGTGGCGCTTTGGCCCAGAGGCAATGTCTCCCCAGGGTTCACCTGCAGGAAGGTTTGGGGGGGTTGGTACGGTGCAGTGTATTTGGGTGGAGACTGCTGCCCCCGCGACCTGGTAACGGATAAGCGGATGAAAATGGATGGCTGGATGGCTGGATGGCTACACATGTATATTTTAGCCTTTTTCCATCACAACCTTTTGTTTTCTGCTTCATTTCAAATATTTTCTTGGTTTTAGACTCTTTTTTTTTTTAAAGTGATGTTAAGCTGTTCTGAAACTAAAACCTTTTTTTCTTCTTCATTGAATTAGTCTTTCTCGTCATTACACCTTTTGAAAAATCACAACTATTTCATTACCTCGTTAGTAGCTTCATTGCGCTTAACACAGACGTAAATCTATTTGTGCCGTTGCGCAAACATCAGATGTAGCCATTATAAAACGCTTATCTGCCTTTTATCTTTTTTTTCACCTAATTTACACTCGCATTTGCTGCATAATCAGAATCCAGACGAACGTTGCCGCCGATGATGAGAATCATCATTCTGCTTAACTGCAGAGCGCTCGTCGTGTTTGTGTTGTTCTGCTATTTTGCTTCTGCCTCGGTTCCACACTTCACAACGACGTGTGCATTTCAATTACAGCCGAGCAGCGATTTCAAACTCCTGACACTCTCTGTGGGAATAAAGGAGGCGCCGCAGCTCCTTGTGTTCTCCTGCTGTTTTTTGTCTTGTTCAGGGAGAGGCAACTCTTGAATAATTAACCTTGAAGTTATTGTAAAGTAAGGCACAGAGTTCATGGTTGTTTACCAGGATTGTATTGTTGCTTTTCTGAGTCAAGTTGTCACTACAGAGATGTCAGGGAAACTACAGCAAAACAGACATTTTTAGCTAACTTGTACTTTTATTTTCTTTAAGAGTTCGAGGTTTATGCATTTAGATTTAAGGCTGCAATACTGTATTCACCAAATGTCTCTTTTAAATATTTTATCATATAAGAAATATTATTAATATTCAGGCCACCAATGGAAAAAAAAAAGGTGTAAGATAAAAAGCGTTAGGAGGATGTCAAAAATTTATAACAAAAAAAAAAAGGAATTTACCGGCGGTTTTATTCAGGGACTCGCTTTTGTGCGGATGAGATTTACAGAATGTGTTATGTCTACAGTCATTCTCACATTATTTACCAGCCATTTTATCACATTCTAAATATTTCACCCTGCTAGCCTTTAGGTGTCAGCAGAGAAACTGTCCAAGAAATATGAATCTAATGCCAGTTAGATTCAAACACTGATTTTTCCCCTGCAGTTTGCAGTCCGCCTGCAGCTCAGCAGCTGACATCGTCACCTCCCTCACTAAAGTTTTTATAGAGGCAGCATTTGTCTACAGGCATCTCTGGAGACAGCAACACGCTGCTCCAGCCTCCCTCGGCCTGCTCCACATTCAAAGGTAATTGCAAAAGCAAATACATGATGGGATTTGTTCCTAATGTGTCATGAATTTTTCATTCTCTCTGTGGTGTTCAATTCAGGGTCAATTACAGTCAGATATAAAACATGAGACACTTTAAGCTGGGAAGACCTTTTAATGAGAAAAAAAACCTCTCAGTCTAAAGGGTTTAGACTTTCGGAAAAACACAAAAAATATAGCATTTTCTTCATTTCTCCTGTGCTCATTCACTACTGAGGCAACGGCTTAAATGTGAAAATATGACAAAAGAGCCCTCATATTCCAGGAATTCTTGGAAAAAATACCTGAAAGTTTCACTGAGAGACGATGGCATCGTCAGAAAATAATTGTCCACATAAACCTGGTGTGTAGGTATTTGTGTGTTTTTCTGGTCTAGCTATACTTGTGGGGACACATTTTTAAAAGACGTTTGTGAGGCAGGATACTTTGTTCTCGTGGGTACATTTTATCCACACGTATTTTTAGATATAAAATTGGGTAATTAGACAATAAGGATAAAGATTAGGTATATATTGAGTACAGTTTCGGGTAAAATAAGAGGCCAGGGAATGTGTTCCGTCTATGTCACAAAATGAATGTGCATGATTGTGTGCGACTACGTCAGGGTACCAGCGGCATTACCTATACATTTTTTAGACTTGCATAAAAACCATGTCACCTATAGAACCAGCACAGCACTTCCAGCTGACTTGTGTGTCCTCAGCCCTGCAGAACCTCACTCTTTTACTTCTGTATGTTCTTGTACATAGAATTTATAGTTAGTTACCAAAGTGTGTAAAACTATAATTTGTTATCTAAGTGTGTTAAATCATGGTCTGCTTGACAGGAGTAGGTACTCCTAGAAAGGTTTTTACGATGTGGTCCATAATGGATGAGGTCTGTTTCTCATCAAGTATGTGAATCGTGTGAACTTTGCCCAAAGAGTAAAACGTAAAGAAAAAAACAACTGCCCAGTACTTGTGAAACTTTCTCAATAAAAGGAGCTGCAGTCCTCATACACTTTGGGACTTATGTGAGCCAACTCTGTGAAGCTATTGGTCTCTCTGCTCCCCCTCGAACATCCAACATCGATTCACTGAATCCAACGGGATCCAAGGCAGCACAGGAAAGAGGCAGGAAAGAACCACGGTTCTGGGCACCACAGGTCAGTGGGAAAAGGGTTCCCTCAGACAAATACTAACACTAGGAATGAATGTGAGAGTGATTGGAGAGTAACTAAGTGGAAGTCTAAAATTCTTTGTGGTTCTGAGGTATACTCCCAGACTGTGACCGCGTCCAGTCCTATACTGGCCGTAGAAGCTTGTCACGGTGGAACCCACTGAAGCCCAATAGAGGCAGTCTTCCTTTACTTGTTCTCTCACTAACTGCAGAGTTCATATAGACAATGGGAAATTGTCGTAGTTATTACTGTGGGGGGGAAGGAAAATTACAAGTAAAATTATGTGGTGATTTAGTCTTCAAATTAACTCTAAAAGTAAGAGCAAAAGGAAGGAAGGAGGAAAATGATGAACAAGTAATTGCAAAAAAGTGGTTGGAACAAGCAAAGAAAAGACTAGAAGATGCTTTAAGAAACCAGACATTGAGTAAGCACTGAATTGGCAAAATGATGATGATAATTATGTTCCTGTGCGACGCACTCAACCTGCAGCAGAGGTGCAGTTACAGATGGAGCAAAATCAAATACCACAGGCTGTAGGAGGGGTCATACAGTAATAAATTCACCTCCACATCTCACACATCACAGCCTCCACAAACTAGTCAGTTGTATCCTGATTTACCTAAAGAAAATACAAATCAGTTTGACAATCAGAAACTACTTTACCCTACTAAAAAGAAAGGAAACAAAAAGAAGGGGATCATAGTATGGTTTTGCGGAGCAATGTGGAAAACTGGGAAAAATGGAGAAATATTAATACAGAATCAGAAGATGAGGATAATGAGTCAAAAATAGACGCATTTCCAATGAGACCAGCAAGACATTTACATTGCATGGCTACTCTGTTATCACAGCCACATATAGAAATAGAGAGATGTACAACACTTAATCCTGCTACACTACTACCAAATCCTGAGGACGGAGAACCTCATGATTGCTTAGAAGAATCAGAGAAAATGTATAAACCAAGAACAGATTTGACAGACGTGCCACTAAAAAATGGAAACGTATTGTACGTAGATGGATCAGCTCAGAAAAATAGCATGGGACAAAACTGTGCAGGTTATGCAGTAGTAACGCAGACTGAAACCTTGAAAACAGGCAAATTACCATCAAATTATAGTGCTCAGGCCACAGAAATAGTGGCGTTAACAGAAGCATTGAAATTATCAAAAGGAAAAGATGTTACTATTTTTACTGATAGTCAATATGTGTATGGTACAGTACATATTTTTGCCCAGTTGTGGAAAAATAGAGTTTTTAAAACCTCTACGGGGAAATCTGTAATGCACTATAGACTTTTACAAGAACTATTGAAAGCAAGCTCACTCCCTAAAAAATTAGCTGTATGTAAATGTGAAGCACATACACAAAACAATGATCCAATTTCACAAGGAAATGAAAGAGCTGATAAAGCCGCAAAACAAGCAGCTATGACACTTGAAAAC